ATTACATGGTAAAAACAGAAGCTGTACTTCATATTAGTGACAAACTTTGGTGTTTTTTTGAGGAGTTATTTTCATTTTTGCTTCTACTTTTAATTTAAAATAAGTTTCCAGTCTCAGCAATTTTCTAAGTTTCTTCTACATATTAAAAAGTTGTTAAACATATGAGTGGTGCACTACTGCTACTAGTGGTGAGAAAGTGTATTGCACCTTATTCAAAATCAATGCCGTCCCACGGCCCAAAGTTAAAAACTGTTCTTCTTTTGAGGCCCTCAAGGTGGCACTCACGGCCCACAGGTTAAGAATCTCTGGTTTAAATGCCATTGGGTGGGTTGGGTTTAGGACCAAGATGTGAATTGAGTTTAGGTTAGTTTTAGGGTTTGTGGTCAGGGTTAGGATATAAAATTTCAAAACAATGAATGGAAGTCAATAGAAAGACCCCACAAGGATAGAGAGACATAGTGTGTGTGTGTGTGTGTATGTGTGTGTGTGTGTGTGTGTGTGTGTGTGTGTGTGCGTGTGTGTGTGTGTGTGTGTGTGTGTCTTACATCATGCTCTGCAGCTCTGGGATGAAGCTGGTCCTGGAAGCTGGACGGTCTTTAGAAACGGAGGAGGCAGGTCCCGCCATCAGGCTGACTAGAAAACAAACAAAAGATTTAACTAAATTGGTCAGAGGTCCTTCTAGATCAGCGGGGTCCGGTCCTGGCCCTGGAGGGCTTCTAACGTCCAGGTTTTAGAGTTTTCTCTGACCAACACACCTGGTCTGAATGAACAGGTGATTCACAGGTTTCTGCAGAACATGAAGAGGTCATCCAGTCACTGTTGGAGCAGAGAAACAAGAGAAACCTGAAGGATGGTGGACCTCCAGGACCAGAACTGGATCTGTGTGATCTAGACCAGTGGTTCCCAAACTTTTTATCTTCTGACCCACAAAATCTCCATGGCAAAAACTTGTGACCCCAAACATTACTGGTCTGAGTACACGAACTTCATTAATAACCCTAAAAACTCAGGCTTTTTTACAATCTAAACAGCTTGTACACAAATATAAATACTTATTTATACTTATTTTGTGATTTTATAATAGTTATAGGGAAAATATTACATCAGCAATTATTTTATTACCCTTTAAATTGATTTCTGGAGATTATCCAAGGTGCTTCATGACCCATAATTGGGTCTCAAGCCCAACTTAGGGAACCAAAGTGCAGTGGTTCCCAAACTTTTCAGCTTTTGGTCCACAAAATAACAGTAACAGAGACCTGAGCCCCCAGCTATGTTTGGATCAGGTCAACTAAACATGGGCATAGTAACAATATTTTATACTACATTTATCCATTTTAAATATACTAACCTCACTCCTTTGTAACAACTAGGACAAAAATGTAATTAATTCAGAAAATCTTTTCAGGACCCCACCTTGATGTTTTGGGACCCCACTTTGGGTCCCGACCCCAACTTTGGGAAACACTGCTGTAGATCATCACAGAATGTACATTTAATCATTTTCTAATCTTTATTGTTATTCCTTTAGTCCAGTCAGCTTTTATCTTTATCAGCTGCTTCTTTTCTGGGTCATGGTGGTCCCTGGTGGTCCCTGGTGGTCCCTGGTGTCTACCTGCAGCACAACTTCAGTCACTGTATGAGGAGTGGGGGACACCAGGTCTCCAGTCCATCACAGGGACACCTGGACTGGTCTCCAGTCCATCACAGGGACACCTGGACAGTCATTCACTCTGTCAGTGTAGTTACCAGTGAACCTTTAATCTGTGGGATGAAGCTGGAGAACCAGAGGAAACCCAGAAGGGTTTGACCTTTCTGTGACCCCCCTTTAGGCCGTGTGGGTTTCAGGTCCCTGAATGCTGAAGGACCCACAGAGTTCACCTGATCCTGGTTTTTAACCAGAACCCAGACAAAACGTCCCTCTGAGTACAACAAGAACAGGAAAATATCGGGTCTAAAAAGTTAACTTTCTGAGTTTTGTTGTTTTCACAATTATTAATTCTTTAAAAAAAAAACCCCACAGTTTTACTTACTTTTATCCCATTTTTAAGGTTTTTTTAATTACATTTTTATTCAAATATTTATTCAATATTTCACTCAGTTCTTCAGGCTGAACAGTTAAATACCGGAGAGTAAAGAGCAACAGCTGAGACCAAGCTTAAAAACAAGACAGCAGAAAAGCTGTGAGGAGCATAAAGAAGGAGCAGGTGGTTTGACCGCACTGACTTCCCCTCCGGTAGCAACATCTGAATAATAATACAAGTTCCCTCCTATTCAAACACTGCGGTGAGTTAAACTGAACCAAGACAACAATAAAAACACAAAGAGGTCAGGAGGGGAAGGAAATGAAGCCTCAAACACACAGAGGAATGATGGAAAAGTGAAAATTCTCACCGAACTATCAGAAAGATGTTTGTTTTCAGCTTAGGTCCGATTTCGACGCAGCGTGATGACGTATGCAGCGACTGTTGCCTCATGGTAGTTGTAGTTTTTCCTCATTTCCCTTCCAAAAGGCAACGAGGAAGCAACATAACAAGTGAAATGATCGATTTCTTGATTTTAAATGAGAAAAAATCAGTTGTAATCTTCATACTGAAATAAATTTTAAGAAGCTGTTAGAAAATTAATTTTTATGAAGTTATTAAAAGTCAAAAAGAAAAAAATTGTATAGGTCCTCTGGATGGGCTCTTCTCTAATGAAACGTTTCGTCTCTCCTCCAAGAGACTTCTTCAGTCTGAGAGTTTCAGGCAAAATTCAGGCTTTTAAGCCCTGCCTCCATGTGACTGATACTCACATCACATGGCTATCGTTGACACCTAATTAACACCTATTGTTAACAGGGGGTGGAGTGATACTGGCAATAGCAGCGCTGTAGGAGGGAGACAACTGAAAACGGAGGCCTCCACCTCTGTTTAATGATGGATGGTCTTTCTTCACAAAAATGTCTTCTTTTACTCCTCTCTCAAACCAACGTTCCTCTCTATCAAGAATGAGAACATCCTCATCTCTGAAAGAGTGACCGCTGGCCTGTAAATGAGTGAAAACTGCAGAGTTCTGGCCATTAGATGTAGCTTGTCTGTGTTGGGACATTCTTTTGAACAGTGGTTGCTTTGTTTCCCCGATGTATAACTGGTCGCAGTCCTCCTGGCACTTAACAGCATATACAATATTGCTCTGTTTGTGCCGGGGCACCAGATCTTTGGGGTGAACCAGCCTTTGCCGTAATGTGTTTTGGGGTTTGAAAGCCACTGGGACATCATGTTTAGAAAATAAACGTCTCAGTTTCTCCGAAACACCTGCAACATACGGAATAACCACTGGTTTGGGTCTGGGTTTGGGGTCTTCATTTTCACCTGAAGGTTGCATGGAATCCTGTCTGTGTTTCCTGTCTGCTTTCAGGAAAGCCCAGTCAGGATAACCACACTGCTCCAGGGCCTGTCGTGTGTGTGATTTCTCTTTCTCCCTGGCTCCTGGGTTTGTAGGGACACTGTCTGCTCTGTGGTTCAGAGTCCTGATCACTCCTAACTTGTGTTCCAGTGGGTGGTGGGAGTCAAAACGCAAATATTGGTCTGTGTGGTGGGCTTACGATACACGCCAGTTTCCAACCGTCCTCCATCCAAAACCGAGACATCGCAATCCAGGAATGTGATGTGAGTATCAGTCACATGGAGGCAGTGTTTAAAAGCCTGAATTTTCCCTGAAACTCTCAGACTGAAGAAGTCTCTTGGAGGAGAGACGAAACGTTTCAATTGAGAAGAACCCGTCCAGAAGACCTACACAATTTTTTTCTTTTTGATTTTTTACCCGGATTACTGAGATGCTTCAGGACATTATTAAAAGTCAAAAAAGGAGTGTGATCATAGGTGTGAGGGATGTTTGTTGGCTTCTATTCAACCACTGAGAATTGTTCTTTATGTCAGACCACATAGGTAAATCCCTGCAGGTGCCCTCACCAAGTAAATGCCAAGTAGAGGAGCAGGACCTGAGAGCTCCAGCTCTGAAGCGCAGCAGAGCGTCCCACAGAGGCCTGGTACAGACTGACAGTCCAAACATCCTCTGCAGCAGCTTACCACAGCACTGGAGGTGCAACAAGACCCTGCCGAGAGCATTCACTGTGAGCAACATATTCACTCTCTCTACATGCTTTCTGCTCTGGGCCATGGTGCTCACAGCAGAGAGACACCTGGACAGGTCCTCAGTCCATCACAGGGACTCAGAGACAACCATTCTCACTCACACCCAGGAGCTACTAACACACCTAACATGAATGTTTTTGGTCTGTGGGAGGAAACCAGAGTACCAGAGAGACCCTGGTTGGGATTTGAACCTGTGACCTAGCTGACCACTCTGCTGCTCCCTGCACATTATGCTATTTTAGCTATTTACAAATCAAATGTTCAGTTCTTTCAGGAGATGGGGCTATGACTGAAGTGTTTTGTGGGATTGTCACTTTTATTTACAGATAATTTTCCTGGGCTGTGGTAGGTCAGTGGTCAGTAATCCTGAGGTCTGAGTCCATTGAGTCAGAAAGGATATCCTGTGCAAAACAAAGAGTTTTATGCAAATTCACTTCACAACAGGTGAAGGGAGCAGCTGAAAGAAAAACAACTTTCAAATATTTGCCCCATTAAAAAAAACTACAAGTTTATTTAATTTCATCAAACACACTTTTGTAATTTAAATCTGCTTCAGAATATTTCTTCTATTTTGCTACTTTTAGATTGATCGATTGATCACAGGTAAGTAGCTAAAATAGTAAAAAGCTAACTGAAAGCTAAAGTAAAAAGGTAACTTAAAGCTAATATTAGCAAAAATTTAGTTAAAACATTAGCTAGAGCTGAGAAAAGGAAAAGTCTGAAAAAAAGTCTAAAGACTGCTTAACAGCTAAAAAGGAAAACAATAGCTAAAATCTCAACATGGCAAAAAAGCTAACTAGAAGCACTCGGAGAGTGCAAACCTCCGCCAAGACCAATTTCCCCCATCCTGTAATAGAGTTACAAAGGGGCACACCGATACTACAGGACCACCTGCTGGACACTTTGAAACCCATGCCCTGTGAAAGCATCACAGCTTTGCCGATATCAGAGTGTGAAAAGAAAAAAATCCTGTATCCGCATCGTGATCCGGAACATCACCAAAATTTAAAGGAGTGTTCCTTGGCCCAGTATCCACATGTGGTAAAAGTTGCATGACAATCCGTCCACAAGTTTTTGCGTAATGTTGTCCACAGTCAGAATGACAGACAGACAGACGGACAGACATACACATACGCAACCAAAAACATTACCTTGCCCTTGGCGGAGGTAATTAGCAAAAGGCTAGATAAACATATCAAAACACTAGCTAGGGCTAAAAGTGGCAAAAGGCTGAAAAATAAAATAAAAGTTGAAAAAGACTGCCTAAAACCTAGCAAACAAAACAATGGCTAAAAATTTACCATGGCAAAACTGTAGCTAAAAGCTAAATGCAGCAGAAGCAGCTAATAAAGGCTATGATGTGTTTGAGAATTAATGACGAAATTTGTTAAGTCCAGTGAAAAACTGTTTGATAGACTGATTTCATCAAACAAACCTTTGCTTCAGACTTTTGTCATTTTTAAGCATTTAGATTTTTTCAGACTTGCTTTTTCTACCTCTACCTAATGTTATAATACTTTTAGCTAGATTTTTGCTAATATTGGCTTCAAGTGACCTTTTTATTTTATCTTTTTTCTATATGTTAGCTATTTACCTGTTATTTTAGGTACCGTTTTGTTGCTTTTAGCCATCATTTAGCTACTTTTATTTTTATCTAACTTTTTGTTATGTTTAGGTTTTAGCCAGCCTTTAGCTACATTTATCGTTTAGCCAGTGATTCACTGTTTTTAACTTTAAGCAATTGCTCTCCTGCTTTTAGCTTCAGTTTGAAACCTTCAGCTGCAGAAAATGTAATTTTTCTATGGTCCTGTGTTTTGGTTTCATTTTGAGGTCAAAGGTCATCAAGTCTTTTAGGAGAATCTGTTCTTAAAATCAGTTTTTATGTGACTCAGAGGTTAGAAAGCCCTCAGAGAGCCGTCCTCGTGTCTTTACATCCTCCAGGTGCTTGCCCTGGACAACGACGTGCCTGATGGCGTGGTTGTTACGGTGATGGCCGGTAATGACGACAACTGCAGCGCTGAGCTACGCAACGCCACAACCACCATGAAGCAGGGTTACGCCCAGTTTAATGACCTCCGCTTCATTGGGCGCAGTGGCAGAGGTACCTTTAGACTGGAGGGGAGAAGACTTTAAATGTCTGCTTGTAAATCAGCTCTATGTCGTTACACCCATGTTTTTGGTTTATGAATAGCTTCCTGAGAAAACTACATAAGTGAGTCACTGCAACGCCAGGGTGTCCAACCTGAGCTTAACAACAAGCAACGTTTTCTTTTCACATTTGTTATTTATTTAGTTAGTTCTACAGAAAAGAGCAGTAAGAATTATTACAAGAATGCAGTATAATCACCCATCGGAGACATTGTTTCATCAGTTGAAGTTCTGTGATTTGGTTGATTATAGTATTTTATCAGTTATATATAGGGCTCATAAAAACACATTACCTTCAAACATCCAAATAATTGTTTTAAAAGAGAGAGTTACAATCTCAAGGGAACAGAGATGCTTGTTAAACCTAAATTTAGAATCACTTTGAAGGAACGGTTCAATCCAAGGCAGGGGTGGATCTAGGGGCGGGGTCACAGGGGCATTGGCCCCATCTGAAATCTGATTGGCCCCCTGAAGTGCACCTGTCCTGTCACTCATCGGTCCTTGCCCAAGAACAATGATGGTGGCTGCAGTTCCACTTCCAACCCACTAGTGGCGCTAGTGGGTCAAATAGGAAAGTCCAGCATGAAGCAAGTTTACAGAAGTCTTTTTTAATTTGAACAATCCTGCAGAAAAGGTTTTTTACTGACAACGATGTCTAGATTTTCTTACATGTTGTGTATTTGGGAGTATTTTATTTTCGTACAGTAAAAAATAATGTAAAACTGATTGGGAGAATTTACTGTGCAAGCTTTAGTGTTTGAACATGTGACTGATTAAATGTATAAACATTACAAAAACTGGGGATTTGTGTGCAAGGATGTTCAACAATACTTGTACCCTCTATGAATATTGTGGCCCCTTGATGGCCCCTTACGCTGAAAAATCCTAGATCCACCACTGGCCCAAGGAATAAGATTATGGAATAATCTGGAAGATGGTGTTAAAAACACCAAATCCATGGGTGTCCTTTAAGAGAATGATAAAGCTTAGTCTGTTGGAGAAATATGTAACGGTATAATGTGTATTTACATGAGTTGATCTAGGAGTTTAAACTTTATTTATTTTTTGTTTTGATTGTTATTTGAAGACTAATTTGTTTTTAAAAAAATTTCGAGAAAAGGGGCAGATATAAGATTATTTTTCTTCCTCTGCTACCTTTCATTTATTATTTGTATTTTTATTGCATAAAGAATTTATGTTGTTTTTTTATAAAAATGAATGAATAAAATAAACATTTCCATTATAGAAAAACCGAACCTCGTCACAGAAAATGTCTTTAAAATACGTCTGTTTTTGTTTTTAATTACGTGTCTCATTTTTCAGGTAAGAGTTTCACCCTGTCGATAAATGTGCTGAGCTCGCCTCCTCAGATCGCCACCCTTCACAGAGCTATAAAGATCACTGTGGATGGACCTCGGCTTCCAAGACGTAAGATATCAAGTCATGATGGAGAAATTATGTTTTCTGTAAAAACAGAGCGTAAATACTGAGAACTGAACCAACATGTTTAAACTGAGTTGTTGCTAAAAGAATCAAAACTATAGCTAAAATATAAAAGAAACAAGGCATTAAATTAAATGCTATCTATAAGCAACAAAAAAACTGACTAAAAGCTAACAGCATAAATGTACCCGAAACACCAAAAGGTTCGTAAAAGCCAGAATAAACACAGGCTAACACAGAGCTTAATGTTGCAAAAGACTGTATTTAACAAAAGCTTGACAAACATATAGTTGAACGCTGACTCAGCAGACACACAGATTATCTGTGCTGTGATTTGATTTCTGACTTTGTTTTCAGGACAGAGACAGAAGGAGCTGAAAGCTGGAGCGTTCAGAGCTGCCAGCAGCATCAGCAGCAGCCCTGCTTCATCAGGTAGAAGATGAACAAGTCTTTAAACAAAAGGAAAAAAATTGTATAGGTCCTCTGGACGGGTTCTTCTTTAATGAAACGTTTCGTCTCTTCTCCAAGAGACTTCTTCAGTCTGAGAGTTTCAGGCAAAATTCAGGCTTTTGAGTCCTGCCTCCATGTGACTGATACTCACATCACATGGCTATCATTCACCCTAATTAATACCTATTGTTAACAGGGGGTGGAGTGATACTGCCAATGGCAGCGCTGTAGGAGGGGGACAACTGAAAACAGAGGCCTCCACCTCTGTTTAATGATGGACAGTCTTTCTTCACAAAAATGGCTTCTTTTACTCCTCTCTCAAACCAACGTTCCTCTCTATCAAGAATGAGAACATCCTCATCTCTGAAAGAGTGACCGCTGGCCTGTAAATGAGTGAAAACTGCAGAGTTCTGGCCATTAGATGTAGCTCGTCTGTGTTGGGACATTCTTTTGAACAGTGGTTGCTTTGTCTCTTGGAGGAGAGACAAAACGTTTCATTAAAGAAGAACCCACCCAGAGGACCTATACAATTTTTTTTCCTTTTGATTTTTTACCTGGATTATTGAGATGCATCAGGACAAGTCTTTAAACACTTTTAATAATTTGGTTCAAAGAGCAAAGAGTCCAGTTAGTGTCTTCCACTTATAAACAACTTTATTAGCAAATACATTTCTTCAGTCATGTTAGCAGTGGTGGGCAGTTCTGCTCATCTGCTAACAGCAGAACTAAGATTTGTTGAGTGGTTTAACATTTACCTTAATTTAATAATGCATTAATAGACTTTACCCCCATTGCAATACTTTCAGTATTTTCCCTGCTGCTAAAAATCATAAAACTCACATCATCGTGTATTCGGTAATATTTACATGCACCAGTGACATGCTTAATGATGCTTTACTAGCATGATATTAGCATAGCGTAGCACTGGCCAGAATCAGTGACATCATCCTTAATCTGATGATCATAATTCCAGTACAGATCAGACCGTCCATATTCACAGACACTTTGGTCCAGTCTTCACTGTCTACAGGACCTGGCCCAACTAGACCGGTTCCTTTGGAGGACGCAGCCTCTGAATTTGGACGCAATCCAGATCTTGTAGTCTCAGTTTTCCCAGCATCCTTTGCAGCTGTAATATCTTTCAGTCAGACAGCATTTTCTGTTTGTTGCAAAATAAAAAAAGTGAAATAAAGACACACATTTGCTTCAATCTGGAGCATACAAATATTCATTTTTTAGTATTAATAATGTTTAAATGAATTCAATTAGCAGAAACACAATTTCAAAGACTGTAATTTGTCACTTCCTGTTTTTTCCCTCCTGTCTGCTCTTCTGGTTTGATCAGTTGTAGCTCCGCCTCCTGGTTGAAGCAAAAAAGGCAGGGGAATAGAGAAGGGAACTAAACACTGGAGGGGGTGTATTCACAGGATAAATCCAGTTGGAGAAGGGTTCAATGGCTCTTTGAAGACATCCAGATCTTGACGAGTCGTTTGTTTCAGTCGTTTCATTTTGAACCGTGTCGTCACGTCACGTGGGTGGAACCATTTGTTTAGTCAAGCAGAGCCCACCTGAGCGGCTGTACTCCACCCCTCTGCAAAAACAGTAAGGAGGATAAAATAAAGATATAAGCAGTAAAATAAAATCAAACTAAGAACAGGTCTTTACTAGCTGTAACTCAGTTCTCATCATTCATTGGAGCCGTTCAAACGATTCTGCTCGTTTGTGAACATCACCTCTCTGCCCTCAGTGCTGTTGTCATATGCTGGACTGGATTTAATATGATAAATATTAACACTTTAACTTCCTCTAAATTTATTTTTGATTTAGCTTTTTCTAATTAGCAGAACTAAAGGAAATTGTGTAGCTGTTTGAAGCTAATATTCTGGTTAGCTGTGCCCACCACTGTTATCAGAGCCCAACAATGAGACACAGTTAAGTGTCAGGTAATGATCATCACTCAGACAGTATCAGTAAAATGTCTTTTTACTGAGCTGGAAACATCCAGAACTGCTTCTTGTTTCTGTAAAAACAATGTTGTTTCTCCTCAGACAGCAGATCCTTCTCCTCGTCTTTGTGGACCAGCGAAGCATCATTTCTTGGTCAGATGACATCCTTGACATCCACCTTTGCTCCGACTCCCAGAATGCACCACCTCCCGCCTTACTCCACCCAACCTCCTCCCTATAGCTCCTCCTACCTGTCGTCTCCTCCTGTCCCGCCTCCGCTGAGCCACAGTGGTCCCTTTCAGCCCCCCAGCTTCTACTACGGGTCAAACCAAGCTCTCCAAACCGCAGGGGAGGACCGCAACGTCATTACAGCCCTGACCAATTACATTGAAGGGGCGTGTCTTACCATGAGGGTGGAGGAGCCAGTTTGGAGACCTTATTGATGAATGTGTTAAAAACTTTTTAATGCAACACTTGAGGCAGGGGGTGGGGTGTGGGGGACCTGGGGTCTCATGTACAAAGACTTGCGTGGATTTCTTACTGAAACCTGACGTACGGTCAAATCAAGAAAACGGCGTACGCACAAAAAAATCCAGATGTATCAAACTGTGCGTACGCCTGAATCCACACACATTTCTTTTGTATATCACAATTAACGTGGAACTGAGCGCAGGTAAGACACCTCCCCTGACACGCCTTCATTAACATACAGTATGTTAAACAGATACAAATTACTTCCTGCATGTGTGAAGGACATGTTTGATTGATCCCTGTGATCAGAAATGATTTCTAATGTCATAAAAATAATGAATTAAATATAATGTGTGTGAAAAAAATCCTAAGTAAAAATGGGAATAAAATGTGTTTATCACGCAAAGAACCAGTGATTGTGTGTGTGTGTGTGTGTGTGTGTGTGTGTGTGTGTGTGTGTGTGTGTG